GAGGTGACACGGTTATATTTACGAGCTATTTATTTGAAAAGCTGTTTTTAAATTGGAGTGTAAAATTTCCCCCGGCTGTAGCGGCTAAACGGGCTGGCTGTGACTCCCGGTCGGCTAACTGGACGGCTACTATTGTGAGCAGCAGCAGCAGCTTGATATATGTATTCATCTTTATAATGCATCTAATAGGTTCAGAGGTAGACTGTGTGCAGTCCTGGTCAGCTTTATAACACTGTTAGCTGTTAACATGCTGGACTAATGTGTTCTTGGAGAGCTATATGCTGCACATGAGTGATCCCTGTTAGTCTCCTCCCTCAGCTGTAAGAATTCAAATTTTTTTTTGGGTATGAGCCACAGAATGTGCAGATAATACCGTCCAGTCCGGCCTGGCTTCTTCTTTCCTTTCCTTTCCTTTCCTTTTTCTCCTTCAGTCTGCCTTTTTTTCCGCCTCCTTCCTGTCCTCCCTGCAAATGTGGCTGCCGGCAAGCTGGTTTGGCTCTACAGGCGGTTGCATTTTTAAAATCTGTGTCAGTGTCACAGGACGGTTGCTACGCTCTGAGAGAGGAAGCAGCAGCAGCAGCAGCAGCGAGACTACAGCTCAGCATGACTACATACGTGGTCCAGCACAGAGTTGTGTTGCAGATGATTGCACAGAAAATCTTATAAATCCACAGAAATGGTGTGAAGTCTTTTTATGTTTACTCAAGTTTTATTGTGTTGTTTTCTGCTTGTTTAGAAAAACTGGAAAACCTCAGCATCATATGTTTGCATTCACCCATTTGTCAGTGCTGTTTGGTGGCTCTTGGTGAACACTGTCATGAGCTGACTATTAACACTGAACAGACCAGGTGAAATTCAGGTTTTTCATCATCTGCAACTTGCTATCCCATTTATCCTGCTGCTAGTAGAGCAATGTGGACATGTATAGTAAAGGTTTCCTTCAAGACTAGTTTCTGTTCCAGTCTGTAGTTGGACTCTGAGACTTTTTTGGGACTGCTGTCCGGCCTGCCCACGGCCATTGTGTATAGTAGGAAGTTTAGGAAGTGAGTTCATTTTGCTTCGGTCGTCAGGGAGTCCTGTTTGTGACTGAAAACAACCTGGCTTGCAACCTAATATCTGAATTGATTCCATCTTATGCTGGATGTTTTTGAAAGTGTTGTTGTAGCAGGGAGTCAGTGGCTAAAAATAGCGGTGAATCTCGGTTCTGTAATCTGCCAGGGTAAAAACGTTAAAAGGGTTATGAGAGTCAGATAGCTGTGCCTGGTGACGCTCCTGCTTGTGTGCAGAGTCAGAGGCAGAAACAAGGGAGGTGAATAGAAAA